ATATTGTTCTCTTCATCTACAGTCCAGACCACAGGAAAGCAACCAACAGGTTTTGGTGGGAGAATAAAGCAGATGTCTTGCTAAAAGAAAAGTTCCTAGTCTCTCAGCAAGATTATACCCGGTAGGTCATTGGTTATGAGGATGGATAAGTGAGGAGGAAAAACATGAACGGAGGTGGCCTTGGTATTGTAGAAATAACACTGGCCCCAATTATAGAGTCAAAACAGCTTTTAAAAGAAGAAATTTCAAACTGTCAACCACCATGTGAAAGATTGTTCCAAGTCACTAGTAATAAGAGAAATGCACATTAAAACTGCTCAGGTTTTTTCTCACACCCAGCAAATTGGAAAATACAGCAAAAGTCAGGAAAAATCAATGTTGGAAGAACTCCAGGACGACTATAATATGCTATTAGTGGAGCTGTGATTTGAGTCTGGAAAACAGTTTAGAATTATGGTAGAACAGTAATTGGATCATTCATATTCTTTGACTCAGAAGGTTCCACTGCTGGGCATGTATCCTAAGGATGCCCCCAAAAGGCATCAAGTGTACCAAACCATTCATAGCAGAACTTTTTGTGGTAGCAAAAACTGGGAACAAAGCAGGTACTTACTGATTAGGGAAAAGCTAAACAAATTGTGGCATATAAATGTCATGGAGTATTACAGCACTGTAAGAAATGAATATAAGGAATTCAAAGGAATAAGGGAAGACGTGTATTAAGTGTAATTTTTATTGCATCATGATCTGAAGGGAGGGAAGAAGTGATAAGGGTAAAGGGGAAGAAAAGGGAGGGGACTAATAGAAGGGAGGTAGGACTGAGGGAGGTGGTGCTCAAAAGCAAAATACGAGTGAGGAGGGAAACGGAGGAAGACCTGTATCAACTGATCGGAAATGAAGTAAGCAGAAACATAGAAACAATGCTCAAAATTACTATAATTACATATAATGGCCAATATTTATTTAACACTTTGTTTACAAAACCCTTTACAAGTATTATCTCATTTAATCCCTGTGATGGAGGTGCTATGATTATCCCCAGTTTTATAGAGTAGGAAACTGAAGCCAAGTGAGATTAAATGATTTGCCCAGGATCATATATAACGTGTCTGATTTAGGATTAGAATTTGGGTCTTCCTGGCTCCTACATTGAGAGCTCTACAGGTCACTGCTAAAACAATGCCAAATACTAAGTAATCTTGACTATGAAGATTAGGAAATGCACTTCATTTGGGGGTGGAGGGAAACCTGGTGGATGGGTAGTGAGGTATATGCTGTCAGACTGAGTCATTGTGTTGGTTGGTTATACTTAACTGCCTTATTTTCCAGAAATTACTATTCTTACTATTACTTAATTAAAAACACAATTCATCAGTAAAACTTACTTTTTTTTAAAAGCCCACTGGGTTGGGTGGAAGTCAAGAGATTTGAGTTCTTAATCCTGACCAGCACCAACTAGCTATCTCAGGCAATTTGTTTAACCCCACTTTACTCTGTAAAATGAAGGGATTGGACTAGATGATCTTAGAAGGCCTTTCTAGTTCTAATGCTCCATAATCCTCTAACTTTTTAAATAACTGGTGCCTCATTTGGTTACGGAGATAACCCTGGTTTCTCAAAAGGCTATGCCAAGGAAGTGAAAACCTTGCTGGGTCCTGCCAAGATGCAGAGTCAGAGCCTGGGGACTCAAGTCATCTTGTTTGTACTGCAAGGGTAAACCCGGCTAAGTTCAGAGAGACTCAGTCACTTTGGTTAGCCATCAGAGAATGATACTTTTTTGATTATAATGTGTGTACTATATGAAGACCACTAACTAAGGCATGGAAGGGTAGTTACCTGCATCAAAGGAAGGAGTACCGACATCAGGGAAGTTTGAAGCACTGAATGACTTAGTGAGGCCACCTCAGTAATGAGATGACCAGTCTAATTCAACTCAATTGGATGTTTACCAAGCCACTAATATGCATAGCACTGCACTATTTATATGTATCTTTTTGCTGCAGTGAAGAGGATACAAAGGAAATGTTTGATGTATTTCCAAAATAATGAGAAAACATAAGATAAACAAAATCCATTATAAACATGGTGTTGAAACATGAAAAAATCACAACAAATTCCTGCATTGGCCATATCCAAAAAAAGGTGTTGGTCCGTGCTACCGAATCTGTCACCTCTCTGTCAGGAGATAAGTAGCATATTTCATCCAGTGCTGAATGGAATAAAATCAGTGCTAATATGTGTGATGCAAACTGTGTTGTGATCTGCCCTTCAGAAGTGGGAGAGGTTGTTCACACTAGGGAGGGGGCAGATTCTCAGTAAATGGAATTGAGAGCCCCTCAGCTAGTGCACACCTAGGAAACTGAAGCCAAAGTGGGCTGACTTAGGAAGTGATAGGTGATGCCTATCGACTATCTCAGGCAGCTGAGGCAAAAAGCAGCTTTTATCAAAACTACTCATAAAAGGCCATCTGGTGTAGTCAGGCCAGCCATAATCACAGAAAAGGGTAACCAAGGGGTCTTGTGTCAAACTCAGAACCCTGAAACTGTAGGAAAACAGATTTTTAGTTGGTCTTGCTAATTCCAACTACTACCAGATGGGGCTGGTCTGTGCATTGCACAAAAAGGTGGAAGGAAATGCTAGATTACCTTTTCTCAAATGATTTTACTTCCTTGTTGACTAAGCATCACTCAAACGGGTGGAAAAAACCAGAGATCTCTCCCTACCCTCCATGTTTCCATGAAGTGGCCTAACTTTGGGGTTTTTTTGTTTTGTTTTTTTTGGAGGGAGAGGGCATGACTTATCAGGGATGTCAAAGTAGTGGGTACAATCAAAAACTCTGGATTTGGTTTGGGGGAAAGTGTGCAGTTGGGGAAGAGATTAGACAAGGCAGAGAGAAGTAACTGAGGGAGGAGAAGATTGCTAAGCACAGGTTTGGGACTGGGGCCAAACAGGTATTTTGAGATGTGTAGATTGTTGAGGAGAAAAGAGTTCCTTTTATTTGGAGAACAGTTCAGTTGACCATGCCTCGAAGACCAGGATGACTGGGTTCCCCCACCCCTGTAATTTGTCTTTCTAGATTCAAGAAATCAATGATAAAGGCCCTGGACTCCTATGAGGAAAAAGAGGATGAAATGATTAAAAAGGTAAGTTACAATGAGGTTTTAAGAATGTGAGCTCCCTGTGCCCTGGCCAGCATTGTAATCTTCCCTGCATCTTCTACAATGCCCCCACAGATGGCAGCTGAGATTCGAGAGGTGGAACGCAGCCGACAGGAGGTGGTACAGTCTGTCTTAGAGGTTGGTTTCCAACGGAGGCTCCAGAGCAGTATCCACCATGGCTGGTCTCTGAGTTGCTTTGAGCTCCCCAGCATCTCACCTACTGGCTTTCCTTGAGAACACATGGACTTCTGTTCTGCTTGGAACCCTACAACTGAAGGCGCCTGGGCTTTGCAGGGCATCAGACTGGCCAAGATAGTGGTGATTGGCCAAAGGGGTTCAACATAGATGGCATTAATCTCCAGCAGGAAAGGGCATCACCCTCACCAGCTTACTAAGCCTGGCTGGAAGTTACTGGGGCAGGGAGGGATTCTACACATTGGCAGCACAGCTCAGCTGCCCGTCTGTCCTTTGGGCATGGGGTCTGAGGGCTGGGGAGGGCATCATAGGCGGGCATAGAATTCTAGACACATTTATTTTTCCTGAATCAAACTCAGCCTCAGGTAGTGCCAGACCCAGAAGAGGGCTGTTCGGCACCTTGTATCTGGAAAGGAACAAACAGGTAAGAGTACCAAAAGGGAGTCCTAGAACCTCTGAATTAAAGGGTCCTATGTCCCCAGGAGATGCTTAGGCTGGGAATGAGTTAAAATAGTGGTGCCATTCCTATACAGGGGATATTTGGGCATCTATCTTAATTAATCTGTGAAGTGAGACCAAGTTCCATTTTGGAGGGCCTATGGCTAGCACCTATCTGTCTGTTACTGGCTAAGGACCTCAACCTCCAGGCTCTCTCCGGTTTTCTTTTGCAGGATAGCCTCTAGCTCACAACAGCTCTCCTTGGACCCACCACCTGCCCCAGAACTAAACTGGATGGAGGCTACACAGTCCCTGACTTTCATTGGACATCAGGTAATGTGGAGAGGGGGTATAGTGAAAGGGCATTAAAACAAATTCCCTCATGTTTTGCTATTCTTAAGACAAAGTAGAGCCTTCTTTCCTCCATCCTAACAAGACTCGTCTTTCTCATAGGACACATCTGGAGTTGGCAATGTTCATTCAGGTAAGACCCAAATGTTAATCCTGACTCACCTACTCCTGATACCATCAGTAGGGGGAACACATCTCTCATTATCAACAATGAGTGAGGTAGGTACTATTACCCCATTTCAGAATAGGCAGAGCGAGGCAGGATTCAAAGGCATGTCCGACAGACACCAAGATGAGACTTTATCCATTGTCAACTTTGCTTTATTAGAGTTAAGAACTCACGCTTTTAGAATTAGCTGAAACCTTGAGGGTATATACATTCTTGGTCCTAGATTCAAATCCTACAATGGACACTTCTATGTGATTATGAGCAAGTCACTGAGCTTCATTTTTAAGATGGGGGATACCTTCACAACCTAACTTCCAGTGGAGTGCTCCTAACAAAGAAATGGTTTGTCTCTTGTCCCTTTAGGGGCTACTCCTCCCTGGCTGTTGCAGGATGATGAAGACTGCAACAGCTCAGCACATCAGATTGGACCTTCCTATGAAGAATTCCTCAAAGAAAGTGAGTGAGTTGCAGGGGTGGGGTTGATGTTTCTTACCACACTTAAATGCTCCAACCTTCCCTATCCCCCTTGCAGGAGAGAAACAGAAATTGAGAAAGCTACCCCCAGACCGAGTAGGGGCCAATTTTGATCACTGCTCTAGTACAGGTGCAGGCTGGCTGCCTTCCTTTGGCAGAGTTTGGAACAATGGGCGACGATGGCAATCTCGGTAAGTAGGGCCAGCCTAAGCTAGTTTCAGCTTTTTTTTTTTTAAACTCAACCCTCATCTTTGAAATTTTTCTTTCTTTCCAGCCATCAATTCAAAGCGGAAACAAAGCAGTAGCCTATCATCAAGTGGGACTACGTGGGGGCTGAATTTTATTCACAACTTAGCAATATTATGGTCATTGTAAATAAAATTTGTTTTTTTCTAACACAATCCAATTCAGTTGTGGCCCCAGGAAACACAGCACTAGGTTTTAGTTGAATAAATTTATTTTTGAAAATGTACACAAATGTTGAACCTGCCAAGAAAAAAAAAATCAGAATTAGAGTAGCACATTTCACACTGTCTTCCTACACCCTTTCCTTCAAGAAATGGGTTTTGTTTTCCCCCTTACCATTTCATGCATCTTCAGCAGCTGGAGCATCTCCACCCTTGGTGTTCCTGGTATAGATCACTTGTGCTCTGTGTTTGGAAACTAGCTTAATCAGACCTATAGGGAAGAAAAAGGCCATAGTAAATATCATATATAAAATTAAAAAGGCAAATCTAAATAAAATTCTAGGTTTGGAATATTAAAAAAAAAAAAAGATAAACTTGCACATGTTGACATTCTGAATCCCAATCACTCCTCCCACTATAACCATTAATTCAGGCCCACAGCACACCTGGAAAAGACTGATCACCAAACTTTTGGTCTTCTTAAAAGAACTAGGTCTAACTTTGCATAAAAAGGTTCAAACACTAGATTTAGTCATGAGGAACATAAGCAAGCTATTTATGGTTTCCTAATCTGTGAAATGTTAAAAGTTGCACTAGCTGGCCTTTCCATCTTCAGAACCATTTACTCAATTTCATGCTGGGAATCATTTCCTTTTGCAAAACTTCTCCAACCCCTTTCTTCCTCTCTGCTAATAACAACAGCTAACAGTATATATGGACTTACTTTACAATTATCTCCTAGGAAACTGAGATAGAATTTAAGTGATTTGCCCAGGGCCACACAGCTAGTGTCTTAAGTTTGAATTAGATCTTCCTGACTCCAGACCCAGTTCTCTGTCCACTGTACCATCCAGATGCCCATGTTACTTCATAAGGCCATAGATTAAAAGCTGGAAGCAGCTCAATCAATAAGACTGCCAGGGAACTGTGAGGCACTGAGGACAACAGTACAGAGAATATAAAAAATATATGCAAGGAGCTCATTCCAATTGGAGACAAGCATATGTAAAAAATGTGCAGCATGAATATACAAAGTTAATAAATATAAACGCACACAAATAAAAATAGATAGGGGAATCAGAAAAAGCTTCATGTAGAAGCTGGTCCTGGAACTACATCTTATAGAAATCTGAGGGAAAGGTCAAAAAGAGGCATGCAGGATAGCCAAAACCAAAAGCATGACAAAAGAAGATGTAGAGGAACAGAAAGACTAGTCTGACTAGGTGCAGGAAGGGAAGTAATGTGCTGTGGAGTTGGGGCTAGCTCACGTAGGGCTTTAAAAGCTAAACAGCTAGGGCAGCTATGTGGACAGAGCTCCAGCCTTGGAATCAGGAGGCTCTGAGTTCAAATATGACCTCATACACTTGACACTAGCTGTGTGACCCTGGGCAAGTCACTTAACCCAGAATACCTCCCCAAAAAATAGCTAAATGGCTTTTTACTTTTCATAGGAGGCACCACAGAAATCATATGACCCTATCTGTATTTAAGGAAAATGACTAGCAGCAAAGTGTAGAATGGACTAGAGAGGGCAAAGACTTGAGACAAAAACCAATCAGGAATTAAAATAATTTAGTTGAGGTAATGAAAACCTGAACTAAAGTCATAGCTGTTTTGAGTTAAGAAGGGATTGAATAGAAACAGCCACTGATTGTGTATGTGGAATCCAAAATAAGACAAAACTTACAAAAACCCAGGAAAGACGGTGGTGGCTCAAAAAAAAAAAATTTATACATATGGGAATTTGGAAGAGGAGAGGATTTGGGGAGAAATATAATGAGTTCAGTTTTGGCCATGATGAGTTTACATCTCCAGATCTTTCCATATGAAATATCCAATTTGGTCAGACTTGCCTGAGGTCACAGGTAGCAAAACAGAGGTGAGATTTTAATATCATCCCATCTATTCTTTTGGCTAATAGACTCACTCTTCACTTCTTCCTCATATAATTAGTTACTAAATATTATTCTAGTAACCAAACTCATAGGCTACCTTCTTTACTCTCACTACAACTATCCTATTTCTAGCCCTCCCACTTAGGCTCCCACAAAAACCTAACCTTCCTCCTCTAGTCTCTCTTCTCTCCAACCATCTTTCACTAATTTTTCTACTACTACAATCATCATTCCTCTACTGGAAAGTCCACAGTGGCTCCCCAATGCCATAATTCATGCATAAATCCACGACTGGCATTCAAGGCCTTCACAGTCCTCGCCCCCACCTCTCCCTTTACTCCATTCTCCAATCCCTACTCATACCCACTTAAATTCCATTAAGGAAGGAAATTTAGATCCCATCTTCTATGAAAGATCCCTGAATCTCACCTTAAGAATATCTACCACACCTCAATTTTCTCAAAGCATTTTGTATCTTACTATTCTGTCCTATATCCTAGGTGTATACCTGTATCTTCACAACCCCCCCACCCCCTTTAAAGCAGGTCCTCTGACCCTTCTTTGCATCCCTAGCATTTATCTGTTGCCAAGGCCTACTAATTTCACCTTTGCAATATCTCTGGAATACACTTCCTTCTCTCTGACACAGTCACCACTAACTATAGTGCAGGCCCTCATCACCTCAAGCCTTGATTGTTTTAAACTGCTGGCAGGTCTACCTGCCTCACATCTTGCTCCACCCCAATCCACTCAGGCACTAAAGTGATTTTCCTAAATTGAAAGTCTGACCATATTACTCTCCTACTCAACAAACTCCAGTGATTCCCTATTGCCTTAAAAATCAAATCCAAAATGCTCTTACCTGGCATTCAAATCCCTTCATAACTTAACCCCCTCCTACCTTTCCAGTCTTCCTTCCCATGTATTCTTCCATCCAGGGACACTGGCCTCCTCTGGCTGTTCTATGAAGAGACACTCCATTCCTCAGCTCTGGGCATTTTCTCTAGCTGACTCCTATGTCTGGAACACTCTTCCTACTCTGCAATAACTACTGACCTCCCTTAAGCCCTAACTAAATACCACCTTACATAGAAGCCTCCCCAGACCCAGCTTAATTCTAGTGCCTTCCCTCTATTAATTATTTCCTATTCTATATATAGCTTGCTCTGTATATATTTGTTTGCATGTTGCCTCTCCTATTTGAGGGCAAGAGCTGTCTTTTGCCTCTTTGTATCCCCAACACTTAGCACACTGACTGAGGGTCCTGGCCATAGTCAAACTTCTCAGAAAATATTAAGTGGACCAATTTGATGAAGCAGGTTGAGCAACCTAAGATTCTGACATTGCTTTCCTATTAGATCTTCAGAGTATGACTAAAATAAATTACAAGGGTTAATGCAAACAATCTGCGAGCTTGTCTTTCTCAGGTTTACCTTTACTAAGCAGTTCCTGGAGGGCTGCCCGGGCTAAAGAACCCCGGATCTTCAGTCTCTCTGAGACTACTGCTGGGGTGATAAGTTTATAGTTAGGGACCTCCTTGCAGAGTTTGTCGTAGGTTGCTTTGTCAAACAGAACCAGATTATTGAGCTTGTCTCGAACTTTTCCCTTGGACCACTTCTGCTCAAGAACGAGAAAAGGGTCAGAAAATACACTGTTAACAGCATCCTCCCCATTAAAAACCATGGGAAGTTTACAATTACTTAATTTTTTAAAATATAAAGTCTTTTTTGTATATATCATCTCATTTGAGCCTAAAAATTCAGACACTTCCTCCAAAAAACTGAGGCAAACACTGCTAACTCTTTACAAAGACTTTAAGTTAAGTGACTTTCCTAAAGTCAAAGGTGTCAGAACTGGGATTTGAATAACAGTTTAGTGGCTAAGAGAACCACTTTGGGAATCAAAAGTCCCATTCTGACAGATAAGGGCTCAGTATTCCTGCATAAACTGCACACCTTCACAATGCCTCAGGCAACTCTCTGAGGCAAAATTTAAGAGAAAGTGAAGACCTGAACCTTAGAGTGATTAGCCAGTTCACCATAATTTTTGCCTCTACAAAAGTATTTACAAGTTTTATTATATGACCCCTACCCATAACATGAATCCTGCCCACAAATTTCCCAAACCTGGTCATCTACCCTTTTCAGGAAGATTCTATTGTTCTTAATTTATCCAAATCCTGTCAATCAATAAACATTAAATCGGTTATTATGTTGCAGGCACCCTACTAAGGGCCAGAGATACAAAGAAAGTCAAAACACAGTCTGTCTCCTGCGCTCAGGAGCTAGCAATCCGGGGGATTAAATGGTCAACGTAACCCACTTTCATACTTGGGCAGCTCTGATATGCCAAAAGATTTTTTCTGAGAAGCATTATAAGTTGCCTTAGAACTTTGCATTACACAGGTGTGCTCTCTGAGGTCAAATAACAATTCTAGTCCCTCTTCTGTGAACTCTGAGAAACTGGGCCTCAAGTCAAGCCGCTTGAGTAGCCGGGGCCTGAAAGATTAAACGAGACCCCCAACTGTGATAGTACCATCTTGCAGCAACCCCGACCGCGTTTACCTTCTTCTTAGCCTTGCCCCCAGACTTGTTCACGGGATCTTTGTCCTTCTTGGCCGACTTGCCGGCATCTTTCTTCTTCTTATCGTCTTTGGGCGGCTATGGGGAGACAACGAGGAAAGCAGGCTCGGTGAGGCAAGGCGGCAGCCCGAGGGTCCCGCCTGTCTGCACGCCGTCCCCAGGCCTCCCCGCCTCGAGCACATGGGCCTGGAGAGAGCGTTCCCGGACCTGGGCTGTGCCCCGCCAGACCCCCACCACGCTGTGCTCTCTATGCTTCACACCTCCCCTCCTCTTCTCCTCTCTTCCCTTCCCGCCTTCTGGACCCCAGTCCCAAGCCCCAGGCCCTCACCATGGTGAGGCTTCAGGAACTCCAGAAGCTGCCGCCTCCAAGATAAGATGTCGGACAGAAAGGAAGTGGGTGGTAAGGGTGGCCGCTGAAACTCCGTCTGCTTCTAAGTGCTTCCGGGGCTACGCCGAAGGAACTAAAATGGAGCGAACTACAATTCCCAGCAGACACTTCAAACTCTACGGCTCAGGCAGATAAGGTTCAAGAGGCGTGGACTACAATTCCCAAGATGCATCATACCCAAACGCTACACTGCATAGACCGGTACTATGCTAACACTGGGGGAATCTGACGCAGTTGCTCTTATGTATCTACACCTTCTTCGAGGAACTTGAGGCAAAAGAAAAAGATAAAAAGCTACCCTTGCACTCAAAAATTAACTCTTACGGAAATTTTAAAATAGAGATGGGAGAAGGACCAATAAATATGCTCTGCACAGTTCCTTCCCCCCCACAACCTCAATACCGCAGAATGGGCTGGTCAAGGATCACGTGTTCCGGGCTTCCTAGGTGGAGCAATCAGGGAGGGAGGGGTACTTGGAAACCGGAAACAGCGTCGAATGGAGCTATGGCGATCTTCAGTGTTTATGTGGTGAACAAAGCCGGCGGCCTCATCTACCAGCTGGACAACTACGCGCCTCGAGCCGAGGCTGAGAAAACCTTCAGTTACCCGCTGGACTTGCTACTCAAGCTACACGACGAGCGCGTTCTTGTTGCTTTTGGCCAGCGGGACGGCATCCGGGGTGGGCGGGGCCTTAGGCGAGGTCCTAGGCGCGGGGGGTGGGGCTGAGGAGTGGCTTCCCGGGAAGGGGCGGGGCTTGGGTCTCCTAGAATCCAATTTGTTCTCTCCAAGGGGGCGGGGACTGAGGCGGGGGGCGGGGCGGGCCCGAGAATCCTGAAGTCCAATTTGCTCAGGCCGAGGGGCGGTGGCTTTTAGGGCTCTGGGCTCGTGGCTCCCGGAAGTGGGAGGAGTGGGCCCCGGCTGGGCTGGCCGGGATGACCCGACCCCTGCCTCCGCAGTGGGCCACGCGGTTCTCTCCATCAATGGCGTGGACGTGAATGGCAAGTACACCGCGGATGGGAAGGAGGTGCTGGAGTACCTGGGTAACCCGGCCAACTACCCCGTGTCCATTCGCTTCGGCCGGCCCCGCCTCACGTCCAACGAGAAGCTGATGCTGGCCTCCATGTTCCACTCGTGAGTTACGTTTTTGCGTGGGGGAGAGGGAGGAGCGTTCATTCTCCCGAGGGGGCCCGCAGGACTTTTAGCTTGGGAACACGGTGGAGCTGCCCCCCCCCCACCCTGCCTCCCCCTCCCCCCCGCACCACGCTTTCCACCAAAGCCGGTCACGCCGGCCACTCGACTTGTTTGCACACAGGCTGTTTGCCATCGGCTCCCAGCTGTCTCCCGAGCTGGGGAGTTCTGGCATCGAGATGCTCGAGACTGACACCTTCAAACTCCACTGCTTCCAGACACTGACAGGTGCAGACCCCAGAAGGGGAGGGGCCAGGGCCAGGAGGCAGGCTGGGGGAGGCAGGGGCTGGACTTGGGGCACGCCTCTGCTAAGCAGGGTGGCGGTTGTCTTTTTAAGCCCCGTATAGTCAGGTTTCCTTTTCTTTCTTTGTACATTACCAAAAAAAAAAATCGAACCTTTAATCCAAGGTTGACTTTCACATGTGGCTCAGATTCCTCCTTCTTTCCCTTTCCATAGGGAAAATTCAAACAGAGTAACAACTTGGTCTCTAAAAATGGGTTTAGATGACTTTAGTAATGTGTGCTGTTGCAGGTGTTACATACCTTTGTTTCCACTGTTAACTAAAATAATCACGTTGAGTGGTTATTGGTTATTAATTTGACATTTGTTTCCACCCCAAGATGGGGCTTTTCAGAACTTTCTGCTGGGCCCAAGAACATAGCCTACATTGGGTTTGTTCCTTGCTCTGTCACAAAGAATCTGTGTGACCTTAGGGAAGTCACAAGGGTCTCTAGGTCTTTTTCCTCATCTGTAAAATTGTGTCCTGTCCTATTTTCCTAGAAAAGTGAAAAAAAGGAGATAAGATTCAAAAGCTTTGCAAAAGATAAAGGTATACAAATGCAAGGTGGTGCTATTGTAATTTGCCACATTTTATACTCATTAGATTTTTCCATAGATTATGGAAGTTGAAAAAGACCTTTGAGGTCCTCCAATACAGCAACCCTGTTTTACAGATGAGGAAACTGGAGCCCAAAGAGCCAAAGGAAATTATGCAAAGACACATTGCTAGTTTGTGGAAAGCTACGACTAAAAAAAAACAAGGGTTTCCTCTTGGAGTTTCTTCTACTATACCATGCACTCACTGTGTGACTGTTCCCTACAATCCACAGGTATCAAGTTTGTAGTGCTGGCAGATCCTCGGCAAGGTGGGATTGATTCTCTCTTGCGAAAGATCTATGAGATTTACTCAGACTTTGCCCTCAAGAATCCATTCTACTCTTTGGAGATGCCCATCAGGTAAGTTGTCCCTTCCTAGCCAGTTGTGCTGAAAGGACATCACCTCCTTTTAAAGCAAGCAGGGATAAACATCTTAAATATGATGTGAAGCCAAGTGAGCAGTTTTTTGGAGGGAAATGCCAAGTTCTCCCTGAGGGTTTTTCTGCTTTCAGTAATTAAATACTACTTTAAGTCCCCATAATCTTTTACCTCTTTCTTGTGGCTTCTGGGTCCAACCCAGGTGTGAGCTGTTTGACCAGAATCTGAAGCTAGCTCTGGAAGTAGCTGAGAAGGCTGGGACTTTTGGGCCAGGATCATAGGCCCTCCAGCAAAGACCAAAGCTTGAGATGGACTCAGCCATTTTACTAGGATGGAGATCCAAATACCCCATTTCAGAGCACATCAAGAAGAGTGGAGTCTGAGCAGGAGAGGGCAGTGTAGTACTTTTAAGAACTATTTGGTGTACCATCTTCTCTTCCCTGTATATAATGGTTCTACCTCCCCAATATTGTACAGATGTATTTATGGAATGAGTGAGACCTGATTGAAGATGCTTTAATAAACATTCCTGTGAAACCTGGGGTGCTGGTTTCCTGATTTGGGGCTGCTGAAAAGCATTAGAAGGCATCAAGACAGAGAAGGAGAATATTAGAAGGAAATAATGGGAGGGGGGGAAATGTCTGGAGAAATAGCCAAGGGAGAAACAGCATGATCCAGTGGAAAGAGCACTCAAGACCTAGTGTCTAATTCTGACTGTAGCTGCTTGACTTTGGGCCAATCCCTTCACTTCTAGATAACTCAGTTCCTTCATAGGCTCTTACAGCATTGGAAGGAAGCTAGGACATCTGATCCAGCATGCACTACAACCTTCAGGCAGAGGGCAGGTAGCCACTTGTTGGAAGGGACTTCCTTGGCCTCTAGTCCATCCCATACCCAAATCACGTTGCATATGATTTTTGTGGTATACCTAGCCACTGACAAGGGACTTCCTACTTTGCTAAGGCCACCCATTCCACATTGGAACTACCCTAAGGGTTAAGACAGCTTTCCTTGTGCAGAACTGAAATCTGGACCAAACGGAACATGTGAAAGGTTTCCCCTGTGGATACCAATGCTTCATATCTGACACCTAGAATTTTCTTTCACCCCCAAAACTCCAGGTTTCAGGTCATCCTCAAGGGACAGGATTCTCAATCTGTTCTCTCTAGTCAATACCCTTCCCAGAAATGTGATGCAATCATAATTCCAGATGATTGATCTGACCAGGGAAAAATACAGTGGCACAATCATCTTCATTCTGGACACTATAAATCATTAAGGGTAAACAGAGCAAGGAAACAATTTGTTCTAAAAAATAAACATATAAAATAATATATATAAAAATATATAGAAATAAAAAATAAAAAATTTGTTTTCTGAACAAAGCTACCTTAACTACCTCATGGGGAAGTTAGGATGCTGTTTGTCCTAGAGGTCATGAGGGATTATGAACGTCAAGTGAGGTAACAAATGTTAAGGTGTTCTGAAAAATTCTAAATGCTCTAGCACATCTCACACATAGGAGGACAAATCGAACACCAAGGTGTGGAGCTGGCAGGCAACAGCTTCCCTTCTCTAGTGGTGCCAAAAACCCCTCCCCATTTTGGAAAGGGGAGACAACATAAACTGTGTCAAGATTCTTCCACTCCTTTTGAAATAAACTACTGACAACACTTACTATCAAATCTAGTTTTTTTCTTTTCTGTTACAATTCTTGCGTTCTCTCAGAGTATAAAAGATAAAAGTGCCAGTCCTACCCCATCCCCCACTCCAAGTCCCCAGGTTTTAATCAGAAAGTCCTTGATGGTGGTGTCTGTGGGTGTCCTCCGCATGGTGGGAGCGAGGTGGGCATGGCTCTTCAGCTAACCAAACTGCTCTGCTCTAGGGCTCTAGGTCAGGGTCCTACCTAGATACCGAAGTGAGAGGCAGTCAGGCACAGGGGACCTAACCCTGACGCAGGCTCAGTTGTGTAACTATTTGTTTTGGGCACAGGATGGAGAGCTGCCACAGCCTGGGAACAAAGGTTATAATTTAAATAAATTGACGGGCAAAGGGTGTTGGGAACTGGAGCCCTGTTTTATGATGATAACCCCACTGCCTACATGGGGCAAAAAGGCAGAAAAGGGAAGCCAGAGGCTCAGTGCCAGGGAGAGACCAGGGAGCACACACAGGCACCAAAGGATGTCCCCAGCCCTGCCTTCAGTCAGCTTTCTTTGGCAGCCGACCCATCTTGGTTCGGATGTTTCTGAGGAGGAAGAAGGCCACGGTACTGATGGTACAGGTCACCTCTGCCACCCAGAAGGCAGTGCTCCAGCTGTAGTGCTTGGCGATGGTGCTGAAAGGTAGCCCAGCCAGGAATCCACCCACTGTGAGGAGAGATGGAAAGACCAAATTGAGTATAGGCTGCCAAGGGGGATATACCAAAGAGAAAGGTGCAGAACCCAGAACAGGGCAGAGGAGTAACGAGTTAGTGGGGGTGGGGGAAGGACTCACCATTGGCCATTAGCCCTACGATGGCATGGGAAGTACCACACAAATTGGGAGGGGCACTCTCATTGGCAATGACCCCAAACAGGGCGATGGGACCGTAGGAGGAGAAACCAAAGATGGCACCCAGCACCAGGATCCAGAGCTGCAAGAAGGGTGACATTTATGACCAGAGAACTGGCACCACCATGAGAAGGGAGGAGGGAGGAAAGGATACCCAGGGATGAGTGATAACAAGAAGATGCCCCTAGGGTACCAGGACAGGAAGGGTACCAAGACCAACCCAGGTGCTAAGAGAGAAGGGTGGGAGAAGGTGCATGGCTCAGTGAAAAGAGTGACAGCAATACCAAGAGTTTGCATCAGCCAGGGGCAAGGGAGAGAGGGACCAAGGTAAAGGTGGGAGGCAGACAGAGACAGATGAGACACCTCATGCTCCGTGAAGCCCGTGAGCTCAGCCAGAGGGTGTAGAGCTGGGGTCCAGAAGGCAGCATCCTAGAAGTATTAAAGAAAAGTGAAGAAACCCAAGACCCAAGGTAATTCAGAGGTCCAAAGGAAGAGGGAAAATCAGGTCTCAATAGAATGTTAGGGGAAACTAAGATACAGAAATGGAGCAAAGGAAAGCTAGAGTCCAGGAGAAGGCCAAATGTGTCCAGAGAACCTCCCCCACTCTTTCCTGGACCAATCCCTCCTACCTTGGGGGAGTCACTAGTGACTGTGACACGGAAGAGGTACATGGACCCAACCATCCCAGCCATCATGAAGAGCAACAATCCATGGCGTGGGTTTCCATATACCGACGGCCCCGCCTGCATGATATCAAGAGCAGTGTTACGCCCCTGAGGAAAGGCAGAGAACCTCCCCCTGTGGACTCTGACACATCAGGGCCTTTGAGGCCAGAGGGAACAGGGCTTTGGCAATCCCACCCACGGTGCAGAGTCTTGACTCCATACCTACTGGGGGCCCTAGGGCTGTTCATTGTCTTGAGGCCAAACTCCACTGTTCCCCCTGCCACCGCCACTTCCATCATGGAGCACGTGCCCAGCAGCTGCTACCGCTCAGCTCCTCCTCCTCCACACACTCTCCTTCCAAGAGGTATAGCAGTGCCCACAGTGGCTACTCCTGCCTATCCTTGTCTTCAAGAGCTTTCATTTCCACTCCCCTAAGAAGGGGAACAGCTGCTCCACCGCACCATTCTGTCTGATATCTCTGGGTTCCTGGGCCTACTGGGCCTACTCCATCCTCAGGAATAAGAACTTCCACTCTTCTTATCTACCTGATGCCTATGTCAGCTGTCCTGGAGGTGGTCAGATCAAAACTTTGCTTTTAGGTACTTCCACACCAGTGCCCATCCTCTCTCTGTGCTGACTTACCTTTGCCATGGACCGGTCTGAGAGGTAGCCAGCTGCAATGCTACCCAGAAGGCCCCCAATCTCCAGGGCACTCATATAGGAGCTGCCTGTAATGGAAACAAAGGTGTTGGGCCCAGGAAAGCAGAGCCTAGGGGTAACCTGCCTTAAACCCAGAGGCAGAGCTGGTGCCCAGACCCAATTCTTGCCACTGCAGTCCAGGCACAAGGCCAAGCTTCCAGGCAGAGGTTACGGCCATACTGGGAAGGCTGTGCCCACCAATCTGCAATGCTATCTGCTGCAGCCCAAGCCTATCCTTGGGTCCGTTGCTCCTAGAGAGTTCCTGAACTTGTCCATTCCCCAACCCAGTATCTTCCGGGAATTGGCTAACAGTTTCTCTTACCCACAAGGGCTGACTGCCCTTTCTCCTGGATAAGGAAGAACTGGCCCCAGTCTGTGCAGCAAGTTTTTACCCCAAACACCACCAGGTAGCCAGTGGAGAGAACCCACAGGTATGGGGACAGCAGCAGTTCCTGTAAACTGCTCTCATCATCCTGGGAGCCTAAAGGAGGAAGTAGAGAAGGGGGGTTGGGGGAGACCAGGATTTAACCTTTTATCTCCCTTCCCTGCCTCCTCCCAAGCCCCCAACACTCATTAACCAGCTGCTGGAGCAAAGTCCACTGCAGAGCCCAGGGGTCAGCCTGAAGGACAATCCCCCCCTCCACTACCCCATATATACCCTTCTAGACATTGTGAACAGAAGAAACAGAGGCCCAGGAAAAAGGGATGGGGCAAGGGACAGGAGGGAAAGGGAACCTAGGCAGCAAGGGGCTTCCCAAGAAAAAAGCTCTGGGCTCCAGGAGATGTACAGATCTCTAGTGCCCAGTGCAGGGAAGGCACAGGGAAAAGAGAGACTATCAGGGCCTGGATCTGGCAAGTTCCTGATCAGGGACTGAGGAATAAAGACTAGAGTAGAGGATTCACAGCATTTACTGTCTTCAGCACTCATTTGGTACTTAACTGAAAGACTGCTTTGTGATATCAACTGGACCGTCATACTGTTAATGTTATTTCACTTGCCATGGGACTCATCTCCTACAACTGTATTATAAGCTCCTGGAGTATCAAGACCCTGTTTTTATCTTTTTTTGTGCATAGCACACATCTCGCCCAGGACTGGATGTTTAGTAGGTCCATAACAGACACATGAGTGAATTAATGAATGAGCAAGTGAGTTAATGTTCAAATAAAGATGATAAGGGAGGACAAGGGAGTGGGGAGGGGGCATGGGGGAGCTCACCTTTCTTGCTCTTTTTGGGGGCAGTATCGAGGTTTTGTAGCCCAACATCTGCTGGCTCATTATGGATGAAGAGGAGGCAGAGGAAGGAGACGACCACGCATATTGCCCCTGAAAGTGCCAGAGTGCTACGCCAGCTGTAGTTCTGTGCCAGGAGGGTGACCATGATGGGGCCCAGCCCTCCAGCCAGGTTCATGCTGGTTGACAGGATGGCCCACCAGGTACCAAACTGGGATGGCTCAAACCACTGAGGGGCAGAATGTGGCAAGGTAAGTGTCTGCCCCATCCTCCAAAGTGGATGGCAAATCCCCCAAGGAGGGGTTTCACACTGTACCCCACCACCACCATATAAGCATTAAGGCCCTGCCACACTGTCTGTCAGTTCAGGGGCATGGGGATGGACCCAGGAGATTGAGTTACAGGCTAGAGTCAAGGAGGGAGGGAGTAATAGTGGAAAGCCAAGATTATGGCTTCTTCCTGGCTATACCCAGGCCTCAGGCTGTCACCTGATCCCTGCTACCAACAGAGTGCCTGAAATATCTTGATGAGCAATCCGAGCTGGGTTGGGTTCCTGAGAAATCAGCACCGAAGGAAAGTAGAAGATGGGGTACTCCTGACATCCCATGAGCATCTCCTGGGCCTGCCTAAGCATAGGAGCTGATGCCTACCTTTCGAAGCACCTTCCCACAGGGGGGCCAGCCCAGCCCTTGGGCAAGCCCATTAAGGAACCACAGGGTGGCAAAGACAGACACTGTAGAGCTCCAGGAGAAGGCCACATTGACCAGCCCAACCAGCAGCAACCCGGATGAGAAGAGCCATCGGGCACTCATCTGGTCAGACAGCACCCCACTCACAAACTTGCTGATGGCATACGATGCTGATTGGCTGCTGGTGATGAGTCCTGCAGGAAGGGTAGGGGGTGTAGAGTCAGGGAGCAAGAGATAAAGGAGCAGGGAAGGGTGAGGTATACGGTGACTGGAACAAGGCAAACAAAAAGATCACTAAAAGAAGCCTGACTATGAATAAGTGAAAAATCATTAACGGTCCCAGAAAACAAATAATGAAACATACCTCCCTCCCTTCTCTTGGCTGGGAAGTGGGGAACTATTAGAGAAAAATGTTGTACACACTTGTCAGACGTGGTCGGGTGTTTTTGCTTAAATTTTACTGCAAGAGGAGGGTTCCATTTCAAATAAAAAAAAAGGAGTATTTCCAGAAATAACTAAAAACAAACAGGCATCAGTGAAACTTGTTTTTAAAAATAAAGGGGAAGGGCAGTTAGAATGGAAAGCCAAAGGGCACTAGGTCAGAGACCATGGGATTGGAGAGCACAGGGTCAGAGTATGAGGCCTGCCCATCAAGGTAACCCAGTTTCCTTTCAAAGGGAACACTGTCTCAGAGGTTTGCCCATTGGGCCACAAGGGCAGCAGGCAAAAAAGATGCAAGCAAGGTTGTGCCCCTAGTACAAAGGGGAGAGTGCCCCAGGGCTCACCAGAGATGTGTCTGCTGTTACCCGAGTACTAATTCTCACTCCTCTCCTCAACACAACCACCCTATTCTCACTCCCTCCATCTCCCCGGCCTTCCCCCTCGGTACCAGCCCCAGGATGACCCTTGACCTTTTCAGCCTCTTGAAATGTTCCAGCCCAGCTGTCAGGGACAGAAGAGAAGGGAAAGCACTGTGGGGCAGAAGAGCTCTTTGTTCCCAGGAGCCCTGACACTCTATTTCTAAGTCCCGGGGGCAGAAAGGGCCTGAGATCTGGGCCAGGGACCTTGCCCCTCCAAGAGTAGTCAGGATGAATGCCTGATACTTGGGCCTACCTGATCCTGAACACGCACTCACACAAGCCTGATGATCACGTACTCAGCACCCCTCCCCATGCAGAGATCACATACACAACCCCTGCCTGCACATATGGGTCTCTTACACAGAGCTCTCTCACATCTGCCTCAGTGGGCAGCAGAGGGTAATGGAAAGTGAACTTGACAGGGAGTCAGGAAACCAGAATTGAAGTACTGACACTAACAGTATGGCCTTGGGTAAGTCACTTCAATGCCCTAAGCCTCAGTTTCCTCATCTGCAAAATGGAGGGATTTACATTAGGTCTAGGGTTTTCCATCTTGCCTTCATTTTACAACCTTTCTATATACAAACATATATACTTCTACATTACCCACTAAATATGCAGGCCCTTTCCCACAAAGCCACAAATCATACCATGCAAAGGACCCCCCCCTCAATCTATGCTTTTGCATAGATCTATCCCACAAACCCAACATGGACTAAGTACATGCCGTACGCACTACACACCCACAAGTACCCATCTCCCATGGGCCATGCGCCCCAGCCCTCCCGGGGGTCCTCACCCAAGTCATCCTTGTCTAGCGAGATCTCTTCCACCAGTGACGGCATGACAAAGGAGAAAGTCTTCCGGTTGAAGTAATACAGACTGTAGCCCCAAAACATGGCAGAAAAAATCACAGTCCGGTAATACCCATAGCTCCGGGTAACCATGATGTCCACTGGGAGGAAGCAGGGGGCCCTGCCCTGCCTTCTGGGACTCCAGATGCTCCGGGCACCACAAGCCTGCCTGCCAGTTCTTGGTCACGCACCTAAACTGCTGAGTTGGGGCTTTCAGTCTCTGTGTCCAGTGCTGGGCTCCCCAGCTCCCTTTACAGCCACTGTCTGGGCAATCATTAAGCTCCTGGGCGGCTCCCTGGGAACCCAGTGTCCTGGAAGAAATGGGAAAACAGAGGAGAAAGCTAAAAGAGGGGCTAAGTGAGTAGGTAGGAAGGCAGTAGTCTGGCCCAGTCAAGCCTGTTGCTCTACAATCAGGGGTGCTGGAAAAGAAGCTGCCCCTCACCCTCACCCAATATTGCTTTACCTGCTTCTTTCATTCCTTCCTGCTTATAAATGCAGCTGTGATTAAAAGCACAACCTAATTACTCGTGCCTGCCAAGCGGCCTAGGGGAGGCTGAGTCCCAAGAAAGCAAGTGAACGGGGGTGTCAGCTGCCCCCTTCTCTGGCTCTACTACTTCATACCCTTTCTCTTGTCTCCTTTGCCCCTACCACCAGTTCTGACTACCCAGAAACACATCCTGCCTTCGTGCTGCTGAATCCCTCCTTTCTTTCCCTTCTTCCAGATCCTTTTAACTCCTAATTCCTAATCTACGGTGCCTCACTGGACATGCATCTAAGGGGGCAGAAAGCAGGTGGGCTGCAGCAGACTTGGGTTCAACTGATCACTAAAGACGCTTCCAGGTCTAACACTGTGTGAATCTCTAAGTCCTGCATGACACCACCTGGGTGAAGTTGTTCATCTTCTGTAAATGGCAATACTAATACAAGCATTAACTACCCACCTATGATTGTGGTCAGGAAAGTGTTTTGTAAATCTTAAAGTACTAGATCAAAGTGAGTTATTATTCCTTCCACTTTCCATTCCCCTAATCATCTCTCTACCCAATGAAACTGGTATAACCTACCCTCCTGCTGCTCACCGCTCCCATCACTGCCCACTGCCACAGCCAGGAACCCCAGTAAGGGGAGAGGGTGTGGGAGGTGGGCAAGAAGAGAGATTCAATCTCAGCATCTCTCTCTCTTCGTGTGTGTGTAGGGAGCGCGGGTCATAAAGGGTGACAGAGCAGTGTCAATGTGGCCATCGGGCCATGCACAACTGCAGAACAGTGATGCCCTGTGCTCCACGACGGGGTAGGGCTTGGCGGAGCCCAAGCCTGCTTCGCCTTCGGCGGGAGTAACTAGAGCGGAAAGCCAAGGCGAGGAGGAGGAGGAGCCGGCTTTGTCCCCGGCCTGGGAAAAGGTGCCCCCGGCTCCGATGGCCATTGCAGGTCACCATGGACGCTGGGTATGGCCAGGAGGGGTTGAAAGCCTGTGGGGGAAGGGGCGTGGGTAGGAAGCTGGGCGGCCGCTCTGGGCACTGAGCCCAGCGCCAGTGTCCTCACACTGCCCGGGGCCCGGGAGCGGTGGAAGCCCGGAGGCTGCGGCCACAAGGGTGTCGGTGCGAGGTGCATGCAGCAGGCACGGCTGAGTGGAGGGAGGGGGGACCAGCGGGGGGCACACCTGCCGCTGCCGGGGGGGAGGGCGGTGCAATCCCGGGGAAGGCGGGCGAAGGTGCAGACCCCATCCCTGCCGTCGTCCTCCTGCCCCGCACCTCCCGGAATAAGGAGCTGTAGCGGCGCGAGCTCAAGGCCAAGGGAGAGGGCGGGAGACGCGGGATGCAGCGCCCTCGCCCAGCCCAGCCCAGCCTGCCAACACGCCGCGGCCACGCCGCCAACTTCCTGCCTGCCCCGCTGTTTCCCTGCCCGCCTCCTACCTGCTCGCAGCCACCGAAGAACTGCAAGTAAGCAGGCGACGGCCAAGCCAGCAGGGGACACAACGCGCAGGCGAGGGGGCGGGGCCCAGGCCAGGGGCGGGGCCTTGACTCGGTCGTTAACCCAGCCTTCTAGTCCCGCCCCCGCGCAGAGAAGCTCCGCCCACAGAGCGGAGCTCCTCTCCCACGGCGAAGGGGAGTGGCCTGCCGGGAATTGTTAATTTCCAATCTAGTATTTCCTAAAGCCCGTTTAGCCCCGGGGGGAAGGTTGTCTCACAGCCAGCGGTACAAAGAGCAAAGGTCTGATTGACCTTAAATCTGTTTGAGAAGACCCGGGAAAGGTTAGGTCATATCTGTAACCCCTTCTAACTCGATTGTGAGAACTAACTTTTTTTAAAAAAGTTATTATAAACATATAACCATCTAAAAGAAGTATAAGAAGTATATAAACGTGTGCCGGGCTTGGAGTCAGAATAACCTAGGATCAAATTTAGGTTCAAAATCTAGGTAGGCTAAGCTTCCGCCGCTTACTTGCCATTCTCCCGCCTCTGCCAATTAATAACTGTGTGACCTTGAGCAAGACACAACCTCTGTGGGTCTTGGGGCAATTCCAGGACTTAGCTACTAAATCCTAAAACTGTTTCAGTCTGAATTAGAGGAGGCAGTTCCCACACTGGGAGTCCCCCAGAGTCACAAATATCCTCTTGCCACTTTCAAGTAATGAAAAACAAAATCATATATATCCAATTCTTAAAGTTCAAGAAATTAGAACCAAATGAATTAACAGACAAAATCACACACACACACAAATACATTTACTGTGTCCCTTTTCAAATTGGTCTGAAGTTCCCCTCCTTTAGTTTTGTTTTCATTATTTTTTTTAATAGTTGTAGTCAGCACCTATATAGTTCAGATATGGCTGATCCCTTCATGTAGGTCTTTTCCATATTTTCTTGTATTCATTCACATTTATTCTTTTTAAAACAGCACCATAACATTCTATTACATAACTATTCTATCATTAATTCAGCCATTTACCTATCATTGAGCTTAGGTTACTTCCAGGCTTTACAAATAAAGTAGCTACAAATATTTTTATTCAGAGAGGTCCTTTTTTCCTACTTATGATTATTTTTAGGATGAAGTTCTAGCAATAGAATTGTTAGGTCAAAATGTACAATTGGTTTGGAGCTTCATGGTTTGGACAGAGGCAGAAAGTTAAGGCCTTAGTGGATAGTACTAAATCTGGAGCCAGGACCACCTGGATTAAAATTTAGACTGACATTCAGTAAATACATGACTCAAGACAAGTCTCTTAACCTTTTCGGGACTTCAGGCAACTTCCTAGGATTTATTTAGTATATATGAGGCACTATATACTGTTTACTAATCTGAGTTCCCTATGCTTACAAAATCACAGATCCCAGTATTTTTTATTCCTCTATTCAATCCTACCATTTATTCTGTTCAGCTCTGTAATTTCTTTCTTATGTATCTTGGTGTTAGGTTTATCATATTCTGATAGCAGAGTGTTAAGATCTCTCACTGTTATTGATTCTTGCTTCTTGCAAGATTGTGAGAATTTTCTTTACAAATTTTACTACATAGTTATAAAATGCATGTATATTTCATGTTGAGTGTATATTTAAATATATGCATGGCTAGGTACATATTTTTAAGTTTTTGTATAGCACACAACATAGGGGCAGCAAGGTGGCACACAGATCCTGGAGTCAGGAAGACTCCTCTTCTGAATTCAAATATGGCCTCAGATACTTACTAGCTGTGTGAACCCGGGGCAAATTACTTTACCCTCATTGCCTTAGTTCCTCATCTTGTAAAATGATCTGGAGAAGGAAATGGCAAAACACTCTAATATCTTTGCCAAGAAAACCCCAAGTGGGGTCACAAAATGTCAGACATGACTGAACAACATAGCACATAACATACTGTTCTTGGTTATCTCTTTTAATATGTACTTTCTGATATGACAGCCTAGTCCCAAAGAAGATGTGGAAAAATCTATGTCCCTCCTTTCTGTCCCCACTGCATCATAGGCCATCTCCAGTTGTCCTGATCCAAATCTGGCCACTGGACCCAGATGGCTCCAGAAGAGAAAATGATGCTTATGACTTTGCACAGCTATCCCTCAATTAAATCCAATTCACTTGCATGTCATGGCATCACCTCCCTGATACCAAGAAAATAGAAGAAAACAACTCCTTAAAAATTAGAATGGGGCAAGTGGAAGCTAATGACCCTATGAGAGAGCAAGAATCAGTCAAACAGAAACAAAAGAATGAAAAAATACAAGAAAACATAAAATACCTCATTGGTAAAACAACTGACCTGGAAAATAGGTCCAGGAGAGACAATTTAAAAATTATTGCTCTACCTGAAAACCATAACAAAAAAAAGAGCCTAGACAACATCCTTTAGGAAATCATCAAAGAAAACTACCCTAAGGTCCTAGAACCAGAGGGTAAATTAGTCATCCAAAGAATCCACTGATCACCTCCTGAAAGAGATCCTAAATTGAAAACACCAAGAAATATTGCAGCCAAATTCCAAAATTACCACATCAAAGAGAAAATACTGCAAGCAGTCAGAAAGAAACAATTTAAATATCATGGAACCACAATCAGGATTACATAGGACCTTGCAGCTTCTTCATTAAAAGATTGGAAGGAGTGTAATACAATATTCCATAAGGCAAAGGAGCTTAGATTACGACCAAGGATCAACTACTCAGCGAAAATGAGCATGATCTTTCAGGGGATGAGATAGACATTCAATGAAATAGGGGACTTCCAAACCTTCCTGATGAAAAGATCAGAGCTCAACAGAAAATTTGGTCTTCAAATACAAGACTCAAGAGAGACATAAAAAGGTAAACAGGAAAGAAAAAAACATGTTATTAATACGGGCAAACTGTTTACATCCCCACAAGGGAAGATGCTTTTAAAAGGGGGTATATACTTAAAGGGTGTGGGTTTAAGTTGACTTTGATATGATGATAAAAAAATCTAAGTGGTGAAAAGGGATTATACTGAAAGAAGAAGAAAGGAGGAGACAGACAAGGATAAATTACCGCACATGAAAAAGCACAAAAACCAAATACAGTAGAGGAAAAGAAGGAAAGTAGATGAGTATTGTTTGAACCTTACTCTCATCAGATTTGGTTCAAAGAGGGAATAACATAATCAGTTAGGTATAGAAATCTAACTTACCCTATAGGAAGTAGAAAGGGTAAAGGGAAAAGAAAAGGAAGGGGGTTAATAGAAGGGAGGGCAGACTGAGGGAAGCAGTGGTTGAAAGCAAAACTCTACTGAGGAGGGAAAGAGAAAAAGGAAAGAAAAAAAGCGTAAATGGGGGAGGGGAGAGGAGGATAGGATGGAGAGGAAGACACAAATAGTAATCATAACTGTGAATGTGAATGGGATGAAATCTCCCATGAAATGGAAATGAATAGCAGAGTGGATTAAGAACCTTAATTCTACAATATGTTATTTACAAGAAACACATTTGAAGTAGAGGGATACACACAGAGTAAAGGTAAAAGGCTGGAGCAGAATATATTATGCTTCAGCTGAAGTAAAAAAAAGCAAGGGTAGCAATCCTGATCTCAGACAAAGCAAAAACAAAGATAGATCTAATTAAAAGAGATAAGGAAGGAAACTACATCCGATAAAAGGTACCATAGATAATGAAGTAATACCATTACTAAACATATGTGCAAATTCTTAAAGGATAAGTTAAGAGAGAAATAGACAGCAAAACTATACTAGTAGGGGACCTCAACCTCCCCCTCTCAGAGCTAGATAAACCTAACCACAAGATAAACAAGAAAGAGGTTAAGGAAATCAATAGAATCTTAGAAAAGTTAAATATGGTTGACCTCTAGAGAAAACTGAATGGGGACAGAAAGGAATATACCTTTTTCTCAGCATTACATGGCACCTACACAAAAATTGACCATGTTCTAGGGCATAAAAACCTCACAATTAAATGCAGAAAGGCAGAAACATTAAATGCATCCTTTTCAGATCATGATGCAATAAAAATTACATATAATAAAGGGCCATGGAAAGATAGACTAAAAATTAATTGGAAACTAAATAATCTAATCCTAAAGAAAGAGTAGGTCAAACAACAAATTATAGAAACAATCAATAACTTCATCCAAGAGAACGACAATAGTAAGACAACATACCAAAACTTATGGAATGCAGAGAAATTGGTCCTTAGGGGAAGTTTTATATCTCTAAATGCTTATATGAATAAAACAGAGAGTGAAGAGATCAATGAATTGGGCATGCAACTAAAAAAATATAGAAAAAGAACAAATTGAAAAT